GTGTGTGTGTTTGTGTGTGTGTGTGTGTGTGTGTGTGTGTATGTTTGTGTGTGTGTGTGTGTGTATGTTTGTGTGTGTGTCTGTGTGTGTTGAGTGTGTGTATGAGTGTGTGTGAGTGTGTGTCTGTGTGTGTTTGTGTGTGTGTGTTTGTGTGTGTGTGTCTGTGTGTGTGTGTCTGTGTGTCTGTGTGTCTGTGTGTGTGTGTGTGTGTGTGTGTCCTTTGTCTTCACCTTATGTAGTAGAAGCAGGGCATGTAGGCTGCTTGGTGGAAAAGTAGGGACAGTACAACCAGTTGAGAGAAAGAGTCTAGATGCTAGGCCTCTGAGGAAGCCCATCTGGGCTTTGCCTCTGCCTCTGGGCAGGGCCGTCCTTGCCTGCTGCTGACTGACCCACAATGTAAGGTCATTGCCCTCGCCTGGTGCGGAGGAGCTCTGCGCGTAAGTGTGGTTACTGCAGCTTACATTACTGTGGTTAGTGATGGTCTCTGCTCCTGGGTTTCTGGCCAAAGAGGAAGAGCTCAGGAGTTGTGAGTCACAGCTAGCAGTATACAGTGGAGTGTTCTGGGGACACTCCTGAGACCCAGACATAACCTCTGCCCTCTGGAGTTCTGGTCAGATGCAGACAATGAACAGAAAGCACTGCTTGAGGCTGGAGGCCATCCCCTCATCCAGGAAGACCATCTTGGTTAACTGTGATGAAATTTCTCTGGGATTGATCTGTAGTTCTGGCAAGATTGGATTCTTTATCTGTCCCATCTGGCCAGGTCTGAGCATGGAGGACCTGCAAATTCTGTACTGGGGACATGGCAGAATGCTGTCCTCCCACAGAGTCCTTTACTCATTCAGTAACGGTGCCAGGTGCTCAGGAAGACTGACACCAAGTAATTACACAAATAAAAATATACAAATCGGAATGTGCTGGGAAGGAGAACCCCAGGGGATTCGGGAGGGCTCACCAGGGACTTAGTTTACCTGGAGTTGTGCCTGCTGTTGAAGCTAACCTCCTGCCTAGTTGCGTGTGCTCGAGAGTACGTGTGCTCTAACACACACACACACACACACACACACACACACACACACACAGAGTTAAGAAAAGTTAAACCTTTAAGTGATGGCATCTTTTGGTCCATTCTGAAGCTTCCTACTTGCCTGGACCATAAATTGAATCTGCATGGCCAAGGCCCTGCCCTAGGCCTGGCACAGGGGAGGTACCTCAGATTTCGAAATATTCAAAATGCCATCAGGACACCGCCCACCCCCAAATTAATCTTACAGTGATGGAGTTGAAGCATGGGGGCTTATGGGTGGTCCAGGAAGCCTCCAGGGATGAATAGGGATTGGTCTGGAAGTGTTGAAACTGAGATGGGCCAATGAGGAGGCTGGAGATAAGGAGGGCAGGACAGATTTGGGGTAGCAAGAAGTCCTGTGCTCTGCTCTGAGGCCTGCCTTCAGGAGGCAGGACTGTTGGGACTTGGACTGGGATACAAGGTAATGGTAGGTTTTCCGTCCCACTTTTAGTCACATCATCTGATCCTCTGGGGAGGGGTCTGGGATGGTCCAGAGCTGAGAGCTTCCTACCAGCCAGCCTGTCCCCAATACTGGCTTCATGGCTCCAGGAGCAGCAGAATCAGAGCCAGAGATCACTTGAATTTTCTTAGGGGAGCTGATCACCCTTTGCTAGGGGGTCTCTGTCTGGGAACTGAGACTCCAGTTCCTGTGGCTGGACCCATCTCCAGTATTTGGTGTTCTTCTCTCCTTCCAGTTCATCAGCCTGGCTCTGGCCATGCTAAGACTGAGAAGGGTCTCAGTAGGGTGGGCCGCTCAGGGGTGATCTCTTGGCTGCCACTCTTGCCAGGCGCTCATCTCTGAGGCAGCCCCTCCCCTGCCGCTGACTATTCTGCAGGGAGAAGGCTCACTGACAAGGTGGCATGCTGCCCACCAATGAGGGCCATGCCAAGCGTGATGTGATGTGTGCTGATCTGAGGACCAGCAGCTGATGCACCCGCAGGCTGGGGAGCTTGGGCGGTTCTCCCATCATATCCATGGGGGTTTGGGGAGGATATCACAGTGGACAGAGGGCTCTCTTGTGCTGTGGGTGGAGGGACCAGTCTTAAAGACTCTCCTAGATCCCTTATGTCTGATCTTGTGCCTCTAGTTGACGGGAGCTCTGAGCTCTCAGTGTGTTATGTTATTTGTAACCCCAGTGGATTCAGAGGGGACTCTCACTGGCCTATAGGCCCTGACACTTCCAGGAATTGGTACCCTACTCCCAGCAGGCTAGAGACATTTTCCTGCTCTCCTCTGATTGACTCTGCCTGTTGAGGTCTCAGGTTCCAGGAGAGAGTGTGAGGGGTTTTAGGGACAGAAGGGGACTCCAGAGCAGTGTTAATACAGTACCAGTACAATTTGAAGAGTTCCCTTTTGTTTTCTTTCTGACAGGGACTGTCTGTGGTGGGTTTGCCAGGCAAGAGGAAGTCTGGAGAGCTGGGAAAACCCATCTTTCTCAGATGTTGATTCTTGAGGTTACAGTGTAGAGAGGAGAGGCCAGGGGAGGATCCTGGGCTCTATATGTTGAAAAGGTCCCTCAGGGATGTTAACCTCAGTGGACAAGGGTCGCACTGTATTGAAGACAGATCTCAGATTCTGGAAGTGGAAAATTCTGGCTGCTCCCTAGGTGACTTTGGACATTTCTTGATGTCTCACCTTCTCATCCGTGGCAATGGGTCATCAATATTCACCTTGAAGACCAAACCGGGCAAGCACAGATAAAGTCTAGTATCAGCCTGTGTCACAGGCCTGTAATCCCATATTCAGGAGGCAGTTCGAGAAGTGTGAGTTTCAGTCAGCCTGGGATGTGTACGAAACCCTCTCAAATGCACACACATGCATCTACTCACTTGTGTGCATGCACTCGTGTCTTCGTATACACACACACACACACACATACACATACACACACACACACACACACACACACACACACACACACACACACACACACTGACCAGTATCTGGCTGGCACATAGCAGATGCCAATAAAATGGCCATCACTGGCATGCAGCTAGCTCACTCACTCCCAAAGTGCATCGAGGCCTGTTTGTTCCATGGCTTGAGGACCCTAATGGGGTGAGGGTGGCGATTCTGAAGTTGGACATGGAAGGTGTGTCAGGAGACAGCGACGGGAAGTAGTGATTTCCCTGTTTCACCAACATAGGGTCTCTGGTTTTGCAAATAATAACCTAAACCAGATGTATAGAACCGTGTGCCAGGCACCATACCGAGGCCATTAACCAATCCAGTTCTCAAGGGGAAATGTTGGTGGATGGGGATGTGATCCAGTTTGGTACAGACTTGCCCAGAATGCGTGGAGTCCTGGATTCAGTTCTCAGCACTGTTATAAACCAGCCATGGTGGCTCATGTTTGTAATCCCAGTACTTGAGAAGTGAATCAGTAGGATTAGAAATTCAGGGTTACTAATGTCAGTGTGGGCTGTTGGAGGCCCTGTCTCAAAAAAGAAAAAGGAGCAACAGTTACCTCACTTTATGGGTGGAGAAACTAAGGCACAGAGAAGCCAAGGCCTCTTCTTGGGGTCACACAGCTAGTAATTAATTGGTAGGGCTGGGCTTGAGACCAGGCGGTTTGGCATGAGGACCCCTGGGGAGAGAGATGCTATGCCTTTCCCTGGGGTCTCTCTGGGGGTGTTCTTTCTGGGACTGCCTGGCTGGGCTGAGCTTTGGTGCTCTGGTGGGAGGAGCTAAGTCCTCAAGAGCCCGCCCTTCCTCTAGCAGCTCCTGCCCACCCTCCTGTGGGCTTCTTTGCCTTCTGCAGTTGCTGTGTCCACCCCGCACCTCTCTCTTCCTCAGGAGTGGTCACTGAGCTCTGTGTGCCCAGGCTGCCTCAGACTTGGTGCCTAATGATTGAATAAAGTTGTGGAGCTCCAGACCCAGCCTGACTCCAAGGCCCAAGCCCTCTCTGTACTGAGCTGCTCTTCCCGCCATCCTGGGTGGTGGACACTGGGGAACCTGCCTCTCCAGTGCTATTTATGACCTGCTAAATCACTCACTGTCAACCCTTAGGCTTAATGAGGCCCAGAGCCCGCCAGTACACCCCAATTAAGCACATCATCTGTTTCCGTTTAGCAGAAACAGTGTGGCTGGTGATGGAGAGCCCAGCCTGGGGTGCCATGAGGTGGGCTCAGGGGTGGTTTTCTTCTCTGGAGAATGACGTGCCACCCATCCTGACCTCTGTGGTGCTAGAGAGTAGCTCCCTTCCCTCACCAGGAGCCAGTGATCTACCTGAACACATAATTATCTGCCTTGCTCATTAGCTAGCTGTGGCAGTGGGCTAGATGGGGTTTGGGGGTGGTGACTCAGAGGGATACGGGATGCCCCATTGCATGCAGCCTTCCTGGAGATTTGGGAACCTGCTGTGAGTGTCAGCAAAGGTGTCCAAGTACGGGAAGGGGCAGGAGGTGAGGATGGGAAAAGGGAAACCAGCGGTTGGTGAGGTCACACTGAAGCAATCCCTGGCTTCTTACACTGATCCGTGGACTTAGCAGGCACTTAGCCACTGCCGTGCACTGATTGGAGAATAAGTTGTGTGGACACAGAAGGTAGGGCCTTTAGAGGGCCTGGGGGTGAGAGTTCTTCCTGGAAAAGGTAGGTAGGGGCTCAAGGATAAAGGAAGTTCCCACCACATGAACCGAGGTCCACATGGGAGCCAGCTCTTCCTCAGGGTAATGCCCATGGTCAGGACCCTGGTAATCACAAGACTTAGTATAGATTCTGGGGTGCTGGGTTGGGGGACTGTCAACTGGAGTAGGCCAGAAGAGCTAGGAGCTTGGGCTCATAAGGAAACTGGCAGATGGAGTCAGTAATCTGCAAGGTGGCATTAGTGTTGGGTAGCTAGCTGTCTTGGGATACGTGGCTGGGTGATTCCAAGCCTGCCTTAAACAGGAAGCACCTCCATTCATGTTAACCTTGAATAGTAACTACACATATTGTTACCATTCACTTCTGCACCTCGGGCAGATCTCACTAGCTGATCATAGAACCCACTCTGTCTAGAACAGGGGTTCTCAACCTGTGGGTCCCAGTCCCCTTGAGGGTCAAATGACTGTTTCACAGGGGTCACAAGTCAGATATTCCACATATCAAATATTTACATTATGATTCATAGCAGTAGCAAAATTACAGTTACGAAGTAGCAATGAAAATAATTTTATGGTGGTGGTCACCTCAGCATGAGGGGGTCTCAGCTGGTTAGCAGTACTGGCTGCGGAGCCAGGTGGGCACCATTGTCACAAAGCAGATTCAGCTCTAAGCTAGCCTGGGCTTTATCATTGGATTTTCTGTGGCCTGACTTTTCGGGAGATAAAATGGTAAGGGCACGAGGTCCCACCAGCAGACCTTGTGTGGCTGGCTTGGTGGGGGAGTAGAACTTGAGGGGGCTGTAGAAGGATGCAGAGGTCCTAGGGTAGACTGAAGACAGCTTCCAGGTACAGAGCCACTCAGGAGAGCTGGGCCACCAGGTAAGCTGTTGTTTCTTCTTTGATCATGAGGTCACCAGCTGCAGAGCCACACTACAGTGCCACCAAGAAGAAGCTGTGCTCTCACTGCTCTTTTGAGGGCCCACACTAGCAGTCAGATGCTGGGTCTCTGTCCTCATCCCTGCCCTCCTCTATAACCCTATGTATGTCTATGCCTAGTTCCCAGATCTGCGGCTGCAGATGAGATGTAGGATAGTGTCTGTTGGTTTGTTTTGTTTTGAGACAAGGCCTCCCTATGTAGCAATGGCTGTCCAGGAATTCTCTATGTAGATCAGGACTCGAATTCACAGAGATCTTCTTGCCTCTGTCTCCCAAGTGCTGGGACCAAACTACCTGGTCATAAGGTAGTTTTTTTTTTTTTTTTTTTTTTTTTTTTTTTTTTGTCTTTGGGGTGTTAGCCAGTCGTCTTCAGATCCTCAGTGGTCTTGAGAATAAAGTTCAATTCAACACTCACTGCCACTGTGACAGGAAGCAGCTTCAGTTTTTCCGTCCCAGTTTTTGCTCTTCCCTCTGCACACCATACAGGAAGGCCCATGGCTGGGGAGGATGGATGTTGAGAAGTCTATGCTGCTGGTCACCACTCACTGCTCCTTAAGCATCTCTAAGACGCCAGGCTGGATGTGGAGAGGAGTGGAGGGGTTGTAGACAGCAGCCCCCAGCCCTCTTTGGCACTTGCCACTGTGCGGCACTGTGGGACCCCAGCCTGTAAATGGTAAGCTGCACTTGGTTCTCAGGGACTTTGGCAACCAGGAAACAGCTCAGGTGAGAACTTTCCTGGTCCTGTTTAGGCATGGTTGGTGGAACTTTACAGGGGGCAGGGCCAGTACAGGTTGCTTCTTTGGATCTTGGTGGTTTTATCTGCGTTCTGGCTGTGCTCATTTTTGTAAACTGTTGCAAACACCTCAGTCTGGGATGGGTGTTGGTAGTGTTGAGAGGAATTAGGTAGAGGCATTCTCTAGCTCCCTCTCTAAGAAGAGGTGAGGAAAAGCAACTCAGGCATGGCAGCACATGCCTTTAGCCCTAGCACTGGGGTAGGGGGTTGCAGAGATGGGTGAATCACTAGAGGCTTGTTAACCAGCTAGTTTAGCCTAAACAGTGAGCTCCAGGTTCAATGACAGACCCTGTTTCAAAACATGTAGCCATAGGGGAAGACACCATTGTCAGTCTCTCAGCCCCAGACATGGATGTATGGGGCAGTGTGCCTACACACACATGTATATGTGTATGCATGTACACATATACAACATATACACTGAGAGAAGAAACATGTAAAGGTACGTAAAGGGCCAGCCACAGTGCCAAGGGTGAGTCTTGGGGGCCTATGGATGCTGACAGGAAACCTGGAGAGAACCAAAGGTGACCATCCCAAGAGGATATCAGACTCTCAGGGAGCCAGGCAGGAAGGGACCAGCAGAGAGGAGACTGTGTATGGGGAACCAAAGTAAAGATTTCTCTAGACTCAGAGTTGGTCTCCTCCATAGGTCAGGCTGGGTGGTCCTGTGTCCAGCACCAGTTTAGTCAGTTCTGCAGTCTGTTCTTTTTTTGCTGGTGACTGGATGAGGTTGACTGCTATACTCACACAGGTTGCTAGGACTGACTTAGCCAAGGAGGGGCTTGGGGGTGCCATGGGGCTGCTGTCCAGTCAGAGAGACTATGGGGAAGTCTCCACCTTCAAACTGGTAGCAGTAGAAGAAACTAGCCTATGTGGGTAGGGCAGTCCTGTCACCCTGCCCTGGGCCTCCAGGCCCCAGGGACAAGTGGCCAGGGGCAGTTGCTGTCCCTTAAATTCCCCAATCCCTTCTGTGTGCCCGTGTCCTGCTTTCTCCCCAAGGCAGAGCAGCCAGCTTCCCCTCGTGTCTTGCTCCAACAGATGCCCGATGCCAGTCCTCCTCAGCTTGGACGGTGGGGGGACCCGGGTGGGGTCATGACAGGACACCACTGCCTGGGGGTGAGAATGGAGGAGGCCCAGCTGTCAGCTGGAACCCATCAGAAGCCGAACCAAGCCCTGGCAGCTGGTAAGAAGGGGAGGGCAGGCTAATAAGAAAGGTGCCCTTAGCACTGTGTTTCTCAAGCCCGCTCTTAACCCTTCCTGTGCCAACTCAAGGCATGGACTCATGTTTTCCCATAGAGGCAAGTAGCTCCGTGTCTCTATCAGTCCGAGTTGGCCAGTGTTGGGTGGGGCTGACAACAGAGTGACCATGCCCCTGCCTCAGGGAACCTTAATCTGAGGGGAGAGGAAAGGTGCCTCAAACTACTAGGGGTTACTAGCTCGTCTTGAGAGGGGTCCTAGTCTTTGGGGGAAATATAGCTCATCTAGACTGAGGAAGGTTCTGTCTGCCCTCAGCCTGAGGGGTGCACTGCAGGAGCCCCAGTCAAAGGGCCAGGTCCGAGAGTCTCTGGGGCAGACATACATGAGGTTCTGTCTCAAAGTGAGAAACCAGCATCAATCATGTCATCCCTCTGTGATGTCTTGAAGAATCATCAACTAGAACACAGGTATAGTATTGATCTGAGAACCCTAGGAAGCATGTCTCTGGACCCAGGGTGCTGTCACTCGGGGACCGTTTTCTCCAGGATGTCTTCCTGAGGTCAGCTGCCTTCCAATGCTGCCTGCCTTTCTGAGACCCTTTGTGGTCCCCAAACAACTCAGCAAATGGCTGATTTTCAATAGCTCTTTCCAACTCCTTCTTTGGTGTTCATGTAACTTATATAACTCACGCCTTTCAATGAACAATTTAGCGTGGTGAGCAAGCACACAAAGGAAACGTGTCTACGTGCTGTAGGCCCCTCTTCAGCCGCCTGGTTTAGATGGCCCTGATTTATTTTCCACAGTTAGCGCCTGGCCTTCTCCCAACTTCTCAGCACTCCTCAACTGGCCTGTTGTTGGCTGCCAGAGGCCAGAGCAAGCTGCCTGCAGGTCCCCTTTCTCCACTGCTGCATGGTTCCAGCGTTCAGAACTCCAGGCTACAGGTTGTGTGAGGCCAATATCAAGCTGTTTCTGAGGGAACAGCTGGGCCCAGGCCCAGGCTCAGAAAAATGGCTCAGGGATACGCTGCCACCTTTGTCAACCCCTGCTGTGTTCTCTGGCTTTAGGCAAGTCATTCCAACACATGGGCCTTAGTTTCCTCATTTGCTAGAGCCTGAGACCCGGGGACCCCTTGCACCCAAGGTTTTCTGCTTCTGACTGTTTTCTCTGTCTACACTGCCCTGGGTGCTTCAGACTACATGCCATGACAATGGGCAGAGTAATCACTAAAGTGCCCATCTGGTTAGCAGGGCTTTCTGGGCAGTCCTGTGTTGCTGGCCAAAGTGTGGCTTGTCCCATTTCCACCCCTAGAAAGGCACTGCAGTGTTTGAGGATGCCTGTGGAGTCATTTGTTCACACTTCCTGGGACCTTGGAGCTGGCTGCAGGGCCATGTCCACAAGGGGTTGCTGGCACAGCTGTGAACGCTGCAGCCCATCATCATATTGACTAAGTTCTTACTCTCCAGGGCCTGGGCTGGGGACTGACAGAGATGAACAAGTGGACGTGGCACAGTTTTTGGTGGCCTTTGAGGACATGCACATGGCCTCCATGGGTAGTTGACCAGGTAAGTCTGGCTGTCACTTCACAGAGACCCCGGCTTGGTTCTTCCATCCGCAGAGTGAGATGCTAACAGTCTTGCAAACGTTGGGTGGCTGTGGAGATTCCATGAGTCAGTGAATGTAAAGTGTTTAGAGCTCGGGTGTGGTCATGACAACTTTCTTTTCATGAGCACAGTGCCAGGAACTGTTGTGGTATTTGTTTTCAACAGAGTTCTCCCCGGGAAGAATAAGATTCCTTTCGACTCTGCTGAGGAAGGAAGCCTCATAGGAGAGATGGTGCCATAGTGAGGTCTTGAAGGATGATGGTAAACTCAATAGGTAGTGATGGGAGAAGGCCTGGAGGTAAGAAGGCAAAAACCATGTTGGGTGAACTCTGCAAGGAGCAGAAGACTTATGTGCATGGGAAATAAAGTTGGAAAATGGGTTCAAGTTGAATGAGCACAGATGAACACTGAAATACAACTCTTTCCTATGGGTAATGGGGAGCCACCGATGGTTGTTGAGCAAGAGTATCCTGCAGGGAGAGGAAACTGATGCGTTACTTTAGTTTCTCTCCATAACAGCATCAGTGGCAGGCAGGCCGGGAACCTTCCATGGTCTAGGTTATAAAATCCACTGAGTGAGGGAGCTAGGAGAATGAGAAGGGGAGAAGAGGAGGGGTGAGGAGGAAATGAGGGAGCAGGAAGGTTGAGTTGGGGGAAGAATAGAGGAGAGCAAGAAAAGAGATACCATAATAGAAGGAGAAGTTATAGGCTTAAAGAGAAATCAGGCACTAGGGAAATGTCCAGAGATCTACAAGGATGATACCAACTAACCATCTAAGCAACAGTGGAGAGGCTTCCTTAAATGCCCTTCTCTGATAATCACCTTGATGCCTACTTTATATGCCATCCTAGAGCCTTCATCCAACAGCTGATGGAAGCAGAAGCAGACACCCACAGCTAAACACTGAACTGAACTGGAACCCAGTTGCAGAGAGGGAGGAGTGATGAGCAAAGAGGTCAAGACCAGGCTGGTGAAACCCACAGAAACAGCTGACCTGAACAAGGGGGAGCTCATGAACCCCAGACTGATAGCTGGGAAACCAGCATAGGACTAATCCAGATTCCATGAACATGGTTATCATTCAGGAGGCCTCAGAAATCTATGGGTCCTCTGGTAGTAGATCAGTATTTATCCCTAGCATACGAATGAGTTTTGGGAACCCATTCCACATAGTGGGATACTCTCTCAGCCTAGACACAGGGGGGAGGACCCAGGCCCTATCCCAAAGGATATGACAGACTCTGAAGAGCCTCCATGGAAGGCCTCACCCTCCCTCAGGAGCAGAAAGGGTATGGGATAGGGAGTTAGTGGGGGGCAGGGGAGGAGGAGAGGGAGAGGGAACTGGGATTGACATGTAAAATAATCTCATTTTTAATTTAAATAAAAAATGGAGAAAAAATTCCACCGAGTGTTTGCACTGATAGGACTCCCAGAGGCAAGTGTGGTGACTCCATGAGGCAGGGATTAGCATAGATATGACCACCAGTAGCTATCCTGGCCTCCTGGGCAGCATCAGTGTGAGAAGATGACAGTCGCCACCTCTGGCCACCCTGAGACTTGAAGCAACTTCTCAAGTTCCATCCTTGAGTCCCCTCTCCTGATGGCTTCAGTTCCATTTTAGGACATGGGGTGCTTGAAGTTGCCTATGTGGAGGGTACCCAGTCAGCCCTGTGCCTGCTCTGCCTGCATCCTGCCCACTGTGGGCATCACCCCACCAGCCCCACAAGTACCAGATAGGCATTTGACCTCTGCTCACAGGCACTGAGAGCACTGGTGACTTGGCTGTGAGGTGACTGAGCCATGACAAGCTGATGGGATGGTGTGTGTAGGGGGAGACCACATGGCCCTTCTATACCCTTGACTTCTTGCCTCTCCAGGGGTCTTGCTGGCTGAGCCTATTCTAAGTAGAGTTGCTATCTTCTGCAAGATTCTTCTCTGACCCAGGTTCCTCAGTGCCAGGAACTGGCCTTCTTTCTCAGATGTTCTTAGGGTTCCCCAGCCCTAAGTAGGCCCAGCTGAGGGACGAATGCAGAATCCCAGGCAGACTGTGAATGTCCAGTCCAAGGGATCATCTATTTTTTTCTGTCTGCCAAGTGCCCCTCGGCTTCTGGGGAGCTCAGGAGTCCTAGGGGAGCCAGCATGAACCCATTCAAAATGCTCCATCGTAACTGAAGTGTGGTCCCAAGCAAAGCACTGTTTGGGGTTCATTGAGGAGGCTAGGGAGGCAGCGTCCCTCCCAGGAAGAAAGGGCGAGGGTGGAGAACTCACAGTGCAGACCTGCTTATTGAACACTCTGCAGACACCCAGAAGGCCCTGGGAACTCTTTCAAAGGCTTTGAAAGCAAGGACTGGATGGAATCCGATTTGTGTTTTGGAAAAAACCTTCTGGCTCAGGTGGAGAGCAGGTTGGGAGGGAGCCTGAGTTGCCTCAGGCACAGAACAGGGAGGAACCTTGTGAGCCCCCACGGTGGCCTTTCAACTGCTACCCTAAGGAGCCCAGTAGGGGGTGTGTTTCAAGTTGCTTAGTGCACACTGGAGGGGGGGAGCAGTGGCTGGTCTTCTTTCCTGCCATGTGGGGTGGCCCTATTCTCTCGGGAGGACAGAGACCTCATGCTTGTGGCCACAGAAAGCAGATGGAGGGGTTTCAGAGGACCAGGAAAGAAACAGTTTCTTGAACAGGAGCTACTTTGGTTCCCCTTGCACCCACACCCTGTCCCCACACAGGGGCATGTACATGAGCGTGCACTCACGTGTGTATGTGTGTGCTTGTGTGTGTGTATGTGTACATATCCTACACATGTGTGCTCATGCTCTGTTCATGTGTCTTTTTTTTTTTTTTTAATATGGTGTTATGTAGTCCAGGCTGGCCTCCAACTCACTATATAGCTGGGGATGACCTTGAGTCTCCTGTGTCACAGGTGGTACCACCATGCCCAGTGTATGTAATCCTGGGGGATTGAACCCATGACTTTGTGCATGCTAGCTAAGCAAGCTGCCAGACAACCAAACTGCATCACCAGTCCCCACTTAGCCTTCAAGACTAAAAGGGTTTGTGGTTCCCATTGCCTTTTGTGGGGGCTTTGGGAGGGAGATAGCCTGCCCTAAACTGAGCCCAACACATGAAAAGGACAGATGCCACCAGGAATGAGTGGAGTTGGTATCATAGCTAAGGGACAAGTGGGGTGAGTTGTACTGCCCACGCCGTCTACTGTGGGTGGGTGGAGATGAATGGAGCCTGGTTTTGGGGATCAGTTTGCCTTGTGTGGTGGAGGGATAGACACCAGAGATTTGGGAACTTCCTTTCACTTCTACCGAGGAAGGAGGGTGTGGAAAGGTGAAGAGGCCGGTTGGCAGGGTGGGAGTTCAGGCAGCCCTGGGAACCTTGCCCAAAGTGTCTGAGACAGTGCAGCCATGGAGGCTAGCCAGGGTGCCAAGGGGCAGGAGTATGGCCGTCTTCCTTCATAGCCCTGCCTCTGCATGGCAGCCCACTTTGTCACTCTGCTCCTGGGCTCCCAGCCTGCTTCTTGGCAGTCACCATGCAGGTTGTCCCCCCAGTTACACTATTTCCCTTTGCTTCTAACCCTCTGAGGGGTAGGTGTGTATGTGTGACCTTGGGCATGTGCTGGAGGAGGTGTGTGTGTGTGTGTGTGTGTGTGTGTGTGTGTGTGTGTTACCATGTATGTGTGACTATGTGGATGTGTGCATGCAAATGTATGAATGTGTTTGTGTAATATGTGCAGGCATACATATTACAGCCGAGTGTGTCTCCATGTGCATATAAGTGCTTGTGAGCAGGTCTTGGTGTGCGCATGGCTATGTATAGGAATGAGTCTGTGTATATGAATGAATGGCTGTGGAGTGAGTCCATGTAAGTCTATCTCTGTGTGGAGGCGTGAGAATGGGTGCGCAGAAGCTTGTGCAAATGGATGAGTATGAGGGTGTGTACCAAGATGGGGTAATGTGGGGTCAAAGCCCTCACAGCTGCTCTGTCTGAGAAGGGTATGTTCCCTCCTTGTGAAGGAAGTCACATGCCAATATTTCTTAGGAGACTTCTTGTGACCTGATGTTCCCCACCCCCCTGGCCTGGATCCATGACCTGAATTAAGAGTGCAGGATACAGACATCCATTGGGGACCTCCTTCTTGTTGAGCTATGGGAGTGCCCACAGTGCCCCCAGGTAGAGTGAGGCTGAGCTGTGGACGCTGCTGCTGGTTCCAGGAGAACAGACTCTAGCATCTCCAAAGCTTTACTGGGAAGCTAGGGCTGGGAGGTCCTTTGGACAACCTTCCCGGTTCCCAGCCTCAGGCCTGGCCTGGATTTCCCTCCAGGGGACAGCGGGAGGGAACCACAGGACTGGATCGGGTTATTCAATGAAGTAGCAACTCAGTCTGTTTCCCGGCCAACTTTTCTTCCCGCCTCACTTTCTTCTCAGATAATAGAAATACCCAGGAGGGGTTTTCTTTCTCCCTGTCAAGCCAGGGTGGGGGTGGCTGGGGCCCTGCCATTGGCCCAGGCCCTTGTCATACAGGCACACCCCTTGGATCTGAGCCAACCCCCACTTCAACAAGGGAGAGCAACTGTATTAGCAGCTCCCTGCCTAGCCCAGGGCCCTCACTGGGAGAAGCCTCTGACATCTCCATGAAAGGCCAAGGCTTTCTAAGAGGCAGGTCATTTCTGACTCTGGCCTTGATCTCCACTCTCTCTGCTCCCTGCCAGGTCTTCAAGTCACAGTAGCACTAAGGCTCGGGTGGAGCAGTCTTATTAATGCCAAGTTCGAATTCTGGTTCAGTCTCTTCCCAACCACGTGGGCAAGTCTGATAACCTTTCTGGGTCTCCCACATGTGGCTAGGGATGACAACAGGACTGATGTCATTGTTGTTTTGTTTTGTTTTGTTTTTCTTTCTGAGATTCAATGATATGAGATTGCCTTTCATACCTGCTCTAAGCTCCAGCCTCGTATCCAGAAGGTCTCTGTGTGTGTGTTTTTTTTTTTTTTTTTTTTTTTTTTTTTTTTTTTTTTTGTTTTTTTTTTTTTTTTTTTTTTGTTTTTTTTTTTTTTTTTTTTTTGTTTTTTTTTTTTTTTTTTTTTTGTTTTTTTTTTTTTTTTTTTTTTGTTTTTTTTTTTTTTTTTTTTTTGTTTTTTTTTTTTTTTTTTTTTTGTTTTTTTTTTTTTTTTTTTTTTGTTTTTTTTTTTTTTTTTTTTTTGTTTTTTTTTTTTTTTTTTTTTTGTTTTTTTTTTTTTTTTTTTTTTTTTTTTTAGACAGGGTTTCTCTGTGGCTTTGGAGACTGCCCTGGAAGTAGCTCTTGTAGACCAGGGTGGTCTCTAATTCACAGAGATCCACTTGCCTCTCGAGTACTGGGATTAAAGGTGTGTGCCACCAACACAGGGTTGGTCTCTGCCTTTTGACTTCCTCAACTTCTAAATCCTATCCCCAGGCACTCTTCATCTCAGACCAGTGACTGAGGAGGTTCCCCATCCCTTCATCTGCTACAGTAGCCACTCCCAGGGCACCCCATGTGGCAGGCCTTCTATTTCCCAGCTGCCCTAGAAAGGAAGTGGCACACAGACTCAGGCTTTTGTTTGTGGATGGGAAGGGTTTACTCACACAAGCTCACACACCTTCCTGAAGCTAAGGTTGTAATCAAGAATGGTCCTCCAACACTGGGCTGTGACC